GGATCCGTGCAATCTGTGTATAACAGGTAGAGAGAGGGAACCCGGGGCCATGGGCACAGTGAGGGAGGACTTGGGGACTGAAGTCCACCAAAGAGACAGTCGCAGCCGCCCCATCAGCCTAGATTCTAACAAGCCTGGCACAATGCAATGGAACCACTGTCCTCTCTTTCATCAAATAATCAACTCAAGCCAAAAGAAGCAACTCCTCTTCTTTGCTTTTGATAACTTTCCATCAAGGTTGCTCTTGGACTATATCTTCCACCACAGTGGCCGTGTTTAGCAGTTGGTGGCCTCAAGTGTAGAGCAAAAATTCAGACCAAAGTGCATCTTATGACAGATAATTTTCCTTATTTTATCAAACCAATTTATCTGCTCGTTTTGTATATGTGCATTGTTTATCGTGTGAGGGAGATAAATCAAATTTAGTTTCTTGGAGGTAAATGACCATTACTTAGACTTGTAGAAAACACTTTAGTCTACTTGGAGAAAGTAATAAAATTTTTGTATAAAATATTCAGATAGACATTACTTCTTAAGCAATTTAAAATTATAAATGTGGGTAAGGACATAACTACCAAGGTCTTCAGATAGTCACTTGTAAACATCATTCATTTTTGACAATTATGAAAAAAAATTAAAGAAAAAGGATCAGATCTATTTTTCCAACTCTTTCTTCTCTGGAAATCAGTAACTCTATTGAACATAGTACTTTAAACCTGAACGTGCAGGGATTCCATCAGACAGACATGTATTTACATGAAAGACAAAGTGAACACTAATTTGACCTTAGAGACTCTGAAGGAGAATAACCAACTCCATATGGATATGCACACTTTTTTTTTTTTTTTTTGCGGTACGCGGGCCTCTCACTGTTGTGGCCTCTCCCGTTGCGGAGCACAGGCTCCGGACGCGCAGGCTCAGCGGCCATGGCTCACGGGCCCAGCCGCTCCGCGGCATGTGGGATCTTCCCAGACCGGGGCACGAACCCGTGTCCCCTGAATCGGCAGGCGGACTCTCAACCACTGCGCCACCAGGGAAGCCCTATGCACACTTTTTGAAGGTGATTTTCTTTTGCTACTTAGAGGAGAAAGGGTCATCTCAAGAACACATTTGTCCCGTTTGTGTCTGCCAACTCCCTTCTTCACTAAATGCCCGGATATAAATGTATTTGTAATATTCAGTGGGCTATTTGGATACTCAATGTGTATATGAAAAGAGTGTGGGAATGTGGAGGCTTATATCTAGTCGATGTCAGAATAAATGGGAGAAGAATAAACCTTTTCTTCCTTGAATTCAAGCAGCCCCTTTATCGTGAGGAATTGCTTGAACAGAGACCAGACAAAGCATGTGGTCTGTGTGGGATCAGGAGTGAAAGATGTGACTTTCATGGTGGCTAAATAAACAAAAGCTTTGTTCCTCTGAGTCAGTCATGAAGACATCAAAGTGTCTTGATCATCCAGTTCTTTTCATTACAATGGGGTCTTACTTGTACATTTCACTCTTCCCAATTATAAAAGAACAACTTCATACGTTTCAAGGCTAAATAATACAGGAGTGATTTGATAGGTCTACCACCTTCTGTACAGATACACATCTACCCCCAAACCCTCATACATCCATTGAAAGTGCAGAAGATTCATCTGGATGGCTCCCTACCACTGCACTTCATTTCACCCCGCTCTGGCCTGCTGCAATAAAACGTTTGGGTTCACAAGTGAAAGATGGGTGAATAACACTTGGGAAACCTTGGAGGAAGAGTACTCCTTTCTTCTGTGAAGTTCAGTGTGTTCTACATAGGAGCAGTTCATATACACAACAACACCATGTGTTAGGAAAGGTGTTATTGTTAAAGTGTCATTATCGCTAATTTACAGGTGGAGGAACTGAGTTATAAAGAAACGCAGAGTGAACTTCCCACTGTCAACATCTCGGTTGGTTTTGGAATCCAAGCTGTCTGGATGCCAGAGTCTGGCTCCACACCCTGGGAAACAATACAAATTCCTGTTGTCCTCACATCTCTCTTTCAACGTGCATGACTTCCTGGAAGCAGTGGAGTTCCACTTTTACTGCTACTGGGTATTATTTTAGACACATAGAAAGCCTTTTTTTGGTCTTTCCATTGGCCTGGGCTCTAACTCAGACAATGTGTAAAAATTAAGATTCAGAAAGCAACCTTTGAATGAATTTCATATTCCACCTTTTCCTCAGTTCTCAACTGAATATTTCATTTGCAGAGATACCTGCTAAGATGTAACAAATCCACTCCAACACAGTACATAACATTAACATGTTAGGACCTCTTAGAATTGACACACTCTCTTTTTAAAAACATTCTGCTTTGACTATGTTCAGTGTTTAGAAAAATTCCTCAAGTCTTAAGCTGTTGATTGTAAGAAAGCAAAACTTTTAATTATTCAATGTGTGCAAGGTAACATTCTCTTTTTACTCACAAGATGACACTATAATGCTACCTTATTTTAATTGGACTGTGGGGACTGAAAACAGAATATCCCACAGCTTTACAGAAGGAAAAAAAAATAATTTTTTTTAAAAGCAAGCGAACCTCCCGAACATTTGTCAACTTTTAACATGAATATCGAGAACTCCCCGACTTCAGCAAAAGCGGTGATAAAACAGAAATTCTTGGAGTAGTTTAAAAAAACAAATTTCACATTCCTTCCGAACAGGTTTCACAACTAATGTTGCAAAAAGGTTTTTACTAAACTGTCATGATTTGACAGCATCAAATTTAACATTCCTTGCTCAATAAGGATAAAACCAAGGGGGGAGAAAGGTCATTAAAATCAGCCAAGCTCTTCTTTAAAAGTGATAAAAATGGAAGAGTTAAAAAAGTTAAAATTTGTCCAGTCAAAAAAGTTAGGCTATTTGCTTCTAGGAATGAACAGAGACATTTAAATTCACGTGTTTTAAGAAGAAAATCCGGGATTAAAATAGAAGTACCTAAGGCTAATGGGCTTTGATGGATGAAAAGCCTATTTTTTTAGTAGGTCACTTTCTGATAATGAGTCAGTCAAGGTGACTTCCAAGTCTCACCATTGACATCTAGGTAAATCCTCCTTGGCTGATCCAGTTTGGTACAGGGGCTACTGGAGCAGGACAGGAACACTCCTGGGCATGTATCCGGAAAAACCACACTTTGAAAAGATACAGGCACCCAATGTTCATAGCAGCACTGTTTACAATAGCCAAGACATGGAAGCAACCTAAATGTCCATCAATAGAGAAATGGATAAAGAAGATGTGGTGTGTATATATATAATATACATATATACATATATACATATACACACACACACACACACACACAGTGGAATATTACTTAGCCATAAAGAGAATAAAATAATGCCATTTGCAGCAATATGGATGGACCTAGAGATTATCATACTAAGTGAAAAGTCAGAGAAAGACAAATACCATATGATGTCGCTTATATGTGGAATCTAAAAAAATGATACAAATGAACTTATTTATAAAACAGAAACAGACTCACAGACTTCAAAAACAAACTTATGGTTACCAAAGGGGAAAGGGGTGGGGGAGGGATAAACTAGGAGGCCAGGATTAACATATACACACTACTGTATATAAAACAGATAACCAACAAGGACCTACTGTATAGCACAGGGAACTCTACTCGGTATTCTGTAATAACCTCTGTGGGAAAAGAATCTGAAAAACAGTGGATATATGTATATGTATAACCGAACCACTTTGCCGTACACCTGAAACTAACACAACATTGTAAATCAACTATACTCCAATACAAAATAAAAATTAAATTTAAAAAAAAGGAAAAAATAATGAAACTCATGGAAAGACCCTCCAGTACTCCTTAACTGAAGCAAATTCTCCGAAGAATGGGGCATGTGCATGACCCAACAAGGTAAGAGGTTACTACCCAGTACCCAAAAGATGCTCAGTAAGCATCTGTGGCAGGAATGAAGGGCACCGAAGGACAAGAGGACCCTCATAGTATGAAAGAAAGCACAGCCAGTGGAGGTCTAGATGCCTTCCTGACCTCATATAGTTCCTATATCACTTCTTCCTGGAAGAACAGCAGAGAAGTCATACTGCTTTGGGTCTCTTCTCCCAATGTCAAGAGGACTGAAATCTTAAAAAAAAAAACCAAAATACCTGATAGCCATGAAAGATACTGCTCAGTGTTTCAAATAAGAAAGTTTCAAAAAAACAGCTTTCATTGGAGAAGGACTCATTGCTGGTTCTTTTGCCTTTTACCTTGTAGATTTGGGTTTGCTTCTTTAAAGGAGGAAAGTATGAAACTTCCCTACACAAGATTGTCACAATCCACTATCCATAAGGTAGTTACGGTAAGTTTGTAGAGTTACAAAAGATTGTCACAATCCACTATCCATAAGGTAGTTACGGTAAGTTTGTAGAGTCCCCAGATAAGACTTATATGGCACAGCCTCGGGCCCAAAGAAACAGACCTCGTTTGTCCAGGTAGGGGGTATGGTGCTTGGGTCTTATTATTATTATTATTATTATTATTTTAAAATCCACTTTCCTTTTCTCTCCAGCCCCGCGTGTCTGCATAATCCACCAGGTGGCCCGAGCACCAAGCGGCAACACTGATGAGTCACGTGACGTTCACCTAGGTTTTATCCCCGGTACGAACCAAGCCTTAGAAGTTTAACTGAGTCCTTCAAAAATGGGCACGGTCTTCATTCCAGTGTAAGAAGGATGGACTGTAATTTATGCCACAAACAAAACACTACGGTTGTAATTCCAAATGGAGAGAAGATCAAGGATGTCTCGGAGAAGCTCAGTGTCTGGCAGCAAATACGGCATTGAAACCGGAGGCGGTGTTCTATTTATATAGGTACATGTATTTTACAAATTGGTGATGGATGGATGGACTTCTGAGAAACAATTTGTTCCAGGTCTAATTCAAATGACGGTTGTCATTTCTGTAAGCCCCACAGTTTCAGCAATCTGTACACCAAGCAACGCTGCAGATATTTTTTTTTTCTTTAATTTCAGAGGGCGAAGACGAAGTAAAAAAAGTGCAGTTCTTCAATTAAAGTGCATGGATGAGGTAAACTAATTTCAAGAGTTTTGAGTTTATTCAATACTGGCTCAGACTGGAACCATTCTGCCGTGTATCTGCTGCATTTGGGTTCTCATTGCCTGGACACTGCTCAAGATCTTATTCTGGTGTGTGATAGCTGTGATGCCAATTCTGGCCAGGTCACTGTAAGTAGGGCGAGAAGAAAAGTGGGAGAGGAAAATGTGATGAGGGCTGAGAATCTCTTTTCTGGGCTTCATGCAGACATGCATTTGAATCAGCCACAGTTAATACAGCACAACAAGGCAGGTGTATTAAAATGTTTAATTAAGCAATTGAATGCAACAATGTAGGTGCTTTATAGAGGCTGTGCAAAATTACATTCAGTCAATCAAAATGAAAGGCATTCCAGTTTTCTTTTCTTTTAAAAAATGAGTAGGATGCTTATGCAGCTCAAAGCAAAAGAAGCAAAATACTATGAAATCTAGATTTACCCTTTTGTGTTACATCGCTGAGTACTTACTCCTGGTTCATGTGCACTACAGCCTCTAGTGTGGTATAACCAGCAGCAGTGAAGTTATCCTTATACCGGTCCATTTTAATGGCCTGGAGCCAATCGCCCACCGATACCACGGTGGAGAATTCAGGGGAGCTTGGATCCAACAAGGCAGTGTTAGGTCTGGAAATGAAACGAGAAAGTGTAGACAGACAAGAATTATTAGAGAGACGGCCTGACTCAGAAGTCAGATGGTCTAAGACAGGTGAGGGGAACCGGAGCACCAAGAACGGGCTTTAGATGGAATCACCGTCAAATGTCATCATGTGATTTTTCGCCCCTAATTTCATAAAGCTGCAAGAGCATGTCTCAATCACCCTATTTGTTCTTAACTTCATTTCCCACATTTGTTTTATGTGGACCTCTTAATGCATTAAGGATCAGAGCAGGTCTTTTAACATCCTAGTCTGGGGTAAAGATTGGGGGAGCCCTTGTGGCTAAAACCAGCTCAGTCTTTGAAGGAAGGGTCCAGTCCCTGCCAGCACTGAATATCACAGACCTTAGTTCAGCAACTATGGAAACCCTAGTGGAGGATGAGTAAGGAAAACTGTGAGCTTGCAACCTGCCAGACTTGATGGAAGCAGAGAAAACAGCGAGAGTTCAAGTCCGGCATGCTTCCAGCCAGGTTTGCAGGCAGGCTCAGTGCATTCAAACAAACTTGGGACAGCAGGGAGTTAATCCTCTCTTTAATCAATGCAGCCTGACCAGCACATGTGCCAAGACTGGCAGGAAGAATGGCCACTTTGATCACTGTTTGGATTGTGGAATGTGCTTCTCGTTTTTCCTTGCTGGGGCTCCTAAAAGAATCATTTCAACAAATTCCAAGCACTTCTTATTAACTTATTTATTAGTTGATGCATTTCTCAGGCCAGGTGTTTTACATTAGATCACTGTCAAGAGGGACTAGCGTTCAAGGCAAAGATTCTGTCATCCCTCACGATATTGATACACAATAAATAATGTATTTATGGAAAGTATTTATTAAGAGAATTAGAGTCATCTTCATCTCAAACTACATAATAATCATAAGGTAGACATTAACAGGGTATTATACCACCTTTATTATAATTACCTGTATAGCAACCTTGCTACTTGTTAAGTTCTATTTTCTTGAACTCCCTTTCCCTAGAAATTATAGAATGTGGTTGATCTTAACATTTTGACCCGATTTTCACCCTGAGAAGATGCTGCTTGAATACGAACATTTAAATCAGAATTATATCATCACTACTGAATTTTCAACCAAAAAAATCCTTTTCTTGTAAAAACAAAATTAAGTCCCTCTAGTGGCTTAACTTTCTACACAGTAGAATTAATCCAATCCATTTTTCATTCTAATTGTTACCTAAATTATCTTGATTTGCATTACTTCTTTTTTTATATCGATATGTTAACAAAGACTTGCTTTGTCAATCAGTTTTGTGTCCAAATATTAGCTTGTCTTTGTGACCTTTGTTTTTTTGTCCATTATTTCAATTAAATCCAATTTTCTGAGTAAAATTCTGCAGATTTTTATGGTAAGAATCATCAAGATTTCATTCTTTTCCCAATTTTGAGCCAATAACAAACACTGCCACATAGAATTTTAGACATTAGTGTTGAATGTTTACCAGGAATATTAATGAACAAAAACCAAAAGTTTGCATTTACTTCTAACTTTAAGCCAAAGCATTGAAAGGGCCACATGGAGGCTCTAGGTACCTGACAAGGTCAAAATGACCTTAGAATGAAAATACCTTACTCAGTATGAATGAACTCTAAGGGTCATTCTCAAGCTTGTTCTGGAAGTCTTTGTACTCTTTGTGGAACACTGTGACATTTGCCTAATTTTGTGCTGAATCACATACCATGTTATACTACCTTCCATTATCAGCAAGCAGTAAGAAGCATCAAAGCTCTTAAGTACCATCAATGAGAAAAATCTAGAAGTGAGAAAAGTATGCCCAATTGGTTCTGTACTTTGGTGCAAATCACACATTCTACAACGTTAGCAACGAAAGAGTTTATACCAGCAGGAGAAGCCCCAAGTACCAAAGAACCTTCAGACAAAATAAGGTGGCATCTGTAGCTGGAGATAAAAAGCTGGAGGAGTTTTGGAATAAAAGAAACAACTAGCTACACCTGGAAGAGAGGCCTTAGTGCCATCTATTTTCACCCCAAAAATAGACCCGAAATGATGGGGATTTTATTTTAGGTCACATAGCTACCAGTGGCAGAAGGAAGATGTGAATTCAGCCCAGTGTTATTTCAGGAGAGCATGGTCATTAACTCTTTGTATGGTGGCTAGTGGTACAGGATCTGAAAGCCTAAGAGAACACAGGATATCTCTGCTGTTCACTCCCAATTCTTTTCCTCATATGGAAATGGTAAGCGTATTCCCTCTCCAATCTGTAGGCTAAGTTTTCAAGAAAAAGACTGGAGGAGGGCATCCTAGTGCTGGCCAAGACTGGAAGGGCTTGGATACTACGGGGAAAATGTCTTCCTACCTTTAACTCAGGGTCTTGATGAAAGAGAAGACTTTGAGAAGCACAGATCTGGAGATGAGTAGGGCCTGAATCACCTAATCTTATTATGCCTGTCTTCTTAAACCATTTAACTCCTAACAGTGGTCAATGGGACTGGTATCTAGGTATCCTGGATCTTATACCAGTAAAGCCCAATTTCCAGGTAGAAAAGTTCCTACTGAATTAATTATAAGACCTGCGGTATCTTTATCTTCTTTCTGGACTGAAATGCTTCTTTTTGCTCTTTTCAATGAAGTAACTACCTATTTTACAGGTGGTTCAATCATTTTAGTTTGTAAAACTCTTCTCAAATATTCATCTGCATGCTTTGTAACTTGATCAGTTTTTATCTTGGTCCTGTTTCCTTCCCCTCTTGAAAGACTCAGCAAAGAGCAACTTTAAGAACTGAAACCCAGGAATCCCTTGCTACAATTCACACTTTATTAAGTCGACTTAAAGATGTCTTCGAATTCTTATTTTTTGCTAACTCCATGTTCCTTCCCCTTTCAAAATATAGCATCTAGTAACCTGGCCATCTTCCAAAAGTACATTTCATCCATCTTCCTAAGTTTTCAGGTCCAGCCTCACAAAATAAGCACTTGAGCTATTCCTTTGTTGTTGTTGTTTTTGTTTGTTTGTTTGTTTTTGGTTTTTTTTTTGCGGTACGCGGGCCTCTCACTGCTGTGGCCTCTCCCGTTGCGGAGCACAGGCTCCGGACACGCAGGCTCAGCGGCCACAGCCCACTGGTCCAGCTGTTCCGCGGCATGTGGGATCCTCCCGGACCGGGGCACGAACCCACGTCCCCTGCATCGGCAGGCGGACTCTCAACCACTGCGCCACCAGGGAAGCCCCTTTGTTGTTGTTTTAAATTTGTTTTTCTGACTTCTGTTTGAGGCCTGACAAGTACTAGGGTCTTCAAAATGGTGAAAAGAGCTACCATAAATACTCAAGGAGGAAAAAGCCACCCAGGCTGCAGACAGCTGTGAAGTGGCCTCTGACTAGAAGGCGGGAATTGAAGTGAGTCACCACTTGCCTTCCATCTCTGATGTATTCTTTCATACATCAGTATTAAGTAAGCACGGCTGACCTGGAGCTCTCGGTCCCCATCCTCTTCAAGCTGTTGGGATTGCGGATGAGTTTGTCCAACATGTTGACAATCTGCCCAAATTTAGGCCTGTCGCTTCTCTCCTTCTGCCAACAGTCTAGCATCAGCTGGTGGAGTGCAATGGGGCAGTCCATTGGAGGGGGCAGCCGATAGCCTTCCTCGATGGCCTTAATCACCTAGCAAAAAAACAAAACAAAACCAAAAACCCAGAATGGTATGTTAAGCTGCCAGGCAAGCTGTTGTTAGAGGTTCACCCTCCTGCTCAGCAAGTTTCCTGTCCATTAAGCTGCCAGCAAGCTTGAGTATGGGAACGGCTCCAATTCTTTCACAGAAGCCAGAGCTGGAAGGGAAGCCAGCTGTTGCTATGAGGGGTTCTCAAATGGTAGACAATGCCCATCTGAAGAAGCATCAATGTTCCAAAGTGGTTAGAACCTAATCAGATCAACCACATGGTGTTGGCCTGGCCTCCAGAGACCACAGGGCGATGACCCTCTCATTCTTCTGTCAGCTAAACACTCTTAGCAAAAGAGACTCTAGCTTAGTGTTAAAGGCATTCCTTAGGAAGCATTAATAGTTGCCTACAAAACACAAGTCCCTTTGCATCACTTTAAGCCTCTGTACTCTTACTCAGACAGCTGGTGGGTCAATACCAGAGCCCAACTTCCAGACCTTCCAATCCAGAAGACACTGCCTCTCTCAGAAATAGCACATTCCTCAAGCCCTCCAGATGCGCAGCCATTTTTAGCTTTGTAAGACCAAAATACACCAGTTTACCAATTCTGTATCTCTTTCTTGGTCTCAGTTGGCTGTCAACTGACCCTGTTAAAGGTGCTCAAAATTAGATTTAAAATTTTAAAAATAATTAATAAAAACCTTCCTTGGGGCATTTATATTTTAAAGAGGACCCTTACACATCTAAGGAAAGAAGTGATCATGGTAGGTGATAATTGCCTCCTGCCCAGAGTGGGGCCTCCTGCCTAATAAGCCATAAATCATTCCACAGGCTTTCTTCTAATCCTAATTTTTCTAATCTATCTTCACAGGTATTACAGCATTTCTTATTGGCTTTTCTCTAAATCCCCCTTCTTCAGGGTGTGAATTCCAATAACACAATATGATATGACTCATGCCAAATTTAAAAAGGGGAATTACTTCTTAATTTCTTGGCTACTCATAAGATGGGTTTACGGGTATCCTATGAGATTCTGGAGGTGATTTTCTTTGGGGATTTTTAAAAGTTTTAATTGTTTTAAATCAGTCCTTTTTCTCCCCCTACTAAAATGACAGCTCCTAGTGAGACCACCACTGGCTGCAGCCATCTCAGTGATCATGACAGAGTCCCCCTGAGGCGGGTCTATTACTGCTCAATGACTGCCCTTCAAGAGAAAATAATCAATTCAGTTGGGTCCAGTTTATATGTTCCAGTATAACTGTGGTTCTTTTAACCAGGATACTGTTCCAGTTTAACAATCATCTTGTGACTTATTAAGCCCTCTGAACCCTTTTCTCCCATGCATTTTTTGCCAGCCTCCTACTGTATTAGTATTAATTTACTTCTCCTTCTAAAGTAGACTTCTGTATGCTATGTAACTGAACGTGATTCTATTTATTTCTGGCAATGACATTAGGTCAGTTTGATCCTCTGACTTTCTTTTCTCTTTCCAGGTGCATGGTGTTGACTCTGGACTTGATGAAAATATTTTACATTGAATTGATGAGAATGCAAGCAACACTGGGCTGATGCCGGGTTAACACAATTTGTTACAAACCCTCAGACCTCTTAGTATTCTTTCATTAGCTCCCGATCCACTGCCAGCTTGGAAGATGGCTTGTGGGTTAACAAAGTGTATTTTCTCAGTTTACTGCTGAATGTTTTGCGGGGGAAGGCCGAGGATTAAAACAAACAAAAAACTTGATAAATTTGACATCTTCTTAACAGTTACTTTGACTCCATTCACCATATGCCAAATGAATTCTACCCCTGAAAGTAATTCTCCAGTTACATTTCCTGTAGATTCCTGTTCTATACAGACTCCAACGCAGAGACAAATACACGTGAATGATAGATCAATATTATTTGTGGGAGAGAATTGGCTTCAGATACTTTTTCATGGATAAAGGCAGACAACTGAAAGTTTAAACCAACAAAATTATTTTAATATAATATAGAAGCTGTCAAAGCTATAGGTCTGGAAATATTTAGGGCGGGAAAACTGACAACATCTTTAGATATTCTGCTCTTATGAGCATTTGGCCACCACTCTCAACTGAAATAAAGAAAAGCTTAAATATCCAATAATTGAATAAGTAAATACAGGCACTACTCCTTCTTCTAGGTTGTTGGTCTTTGTTCCTCTGAATGTCTCTAACTCAAAACCAAATGTTACTATACAAGAAAGGTACTTGATGGTGTCTGCAGAATCACATCAAACAATAGATTACACACTGTTCACTCCCATAGTCTGTCTCCAGCCTGTAATTATCTATCAGTTATGCTAGCTGCAGTCTTTCTTACTATTTGCTATGAACCTTCCTTTATAATTTATAGATACTACAGTGTCAATACTACCGTTCCTCTTATTCTGGTTATTGCTCTAAACATTCTTCTACTGATAAGGCAACATCCTATTTCTTGAGTGCACTTGGTTTTTCACTTAACTGTCAAGGTTTTGCAACATCCTGTTGTTTCAGGACAAGGCAGATGATCAGGTAACACTCCACATCAGAGAAAATTTTTTAAAAAAAACTTTTTTTAAAATACAATTTTTATTGATAAATTGAATACCACACATTCGTAAACACACTCTATGATAATGTTTTACCTCTCATATAAAAATATTAGGGAAGTTCAAGAAATGGCCATTTCACGTTGTTCTGATTTCCAACCCTTCTAGAACTAACTAACACCTTCCCAGAATTAGCTAATAAGTGTTCTAGGAAGATCCCCCCACCCCGGTCTAGGTTTGTTTTTTTCCTTTCTCACTGGAGATGTTTGCAATTAAATTCTATTACTCTGGAATCTTATTAGTGTCATTATTGAATGCTTTTCTAAAATTGGAGGCATTGTGGATACTCCCTTACAAAGTAGTCCAGATGGTACATTTAAAGGGATGTGTATAATTTACAAAGGGTCATTTAGTGAAGCTTTATTTTAGAGTCCTCAAGGGGCAAGCTCTAATTACAACTTTGCCAGCTTTAAAATATTCACTAATTTTCTTCCAATAAACCTTTCACGTCAGTTTCATCTCATGTGAAATTTGTGTTTTTGAGATATCCTTGCATTTTCTTAAAATTCAAGGTTTAATTTTATTTCAGTTACGGCTTTGAAAGTTAACAAAGTAAAAGTACTGTTCCACATCACTAATCGATCAAGCTATGCATCTATCTATCTATCTATCTCCCATATTACACCATTAAGGCTTTGTAATTTTGGTCCTGGAAATCCAGGATCATAAGTTTTAGCTAGATTACTAGACACATCTGTATTAAGAATTTCAAGTTTAATGTATCATTTCAAGCTCAACACTTACTCCATCATACATTAATGCAAAGACATATATTTCAGAACATACTCACATCTTGATTGGACATGTCCCAATAGGGTCTCTCTCCATACGACATCACTTCCCACATGACGATCCCGTAGCTCCATACATCACTTGCTGATGTGAATTTACGATAGGCAATTGCTTCTGGTGCAGTCCACCGGATAGGAATCTTGCCACCCTGTGAACATCCAAGCTCTAGGTTATCCCCCAAGTACACTGATGTGCCATTTTAGTTTCTGAATGTTGTTACTGTTTGCTAAGCAGGGCAACAGCATTCCTGAGATAGCTTTCCAAACAATAACAGGATATTTGGTTATTCTAACTAAAATCTTCCAGGTTGAGACAGTTCTCATATGTTTTCTTTAGTCACAGGGAAGTAAGCAACTAGTATGTTTAATTATTTTTTTAAAAGCCTACCTATTATCTGAGCTCTACTTAAGGCAATACTGCAGAAGAAAGGACATTTTAGGTTTTACAAAATACACATGTTATCCGTGGTATATATCAATGGAAGTGCAGCTGTCAGTAATTTTGACTTCTTGTTAGATTCTCTCACCCAGCAGCACAAAGGCAATACTTAATACTGCTTTGGAAATCATGACCTAAAAAAGTTAAATATGAACATTTCTATCCATCCCACTGTCATCCAACTCCTATAGAGCACGAGAAACATGACCAACGTGGCTAGAAGATAATATGCTAAACAGGCTCTTAGAGGAAGTCAAATAATACCGGATGCTAGAGCCATTATTAATTTTAATGGCAGGAGGGCCAGATTTTGATTATTATTTACTTTTCTAAAAAAAACACTGCAAAAATGGTAAAGCAACTGAATATTACCCAAGAAAAGTTTAAAGGTCTCAAATGTCTCTTGTTTGATTATGCTTATGTGCAAGGTATTTTTTTTTTTTTTAACATCTTTATTGGGGTATAATTGCTTTACAATGGTGTGTTAGTTTCTGCTTTATAACAGAGTGAGTCAGTTATACATATATATATGTTCCCATCTCTTCCCCCTCTTTGTCTCCCTCCCTCCCACCCTCCCTATCCCACCCCTATAGGTGTTTTTTTTAACATCTTTATTGGGGTATAATTGCTTTACAATGGTGTGTTAGTTTCTGCTTTATAACAGAGTGAGTCAGTTATACATATATATATGTTCCCATATCTCTTCCCTCTTTGTCTCCCTCCCTCCCACCCTCCCTATCCCACCCCAATGTGCAAGGTATTTTTAATGGAGTTTCAAATTTCTTAGGGTTCCATCTGGGGAAATTAATTCAACTTCAATTCAGCCCCTTAAGGTGTTCAAGAGGACATCATTTAAAAGTTTGCTTTATTAGAGCTACTAAACAGGGCAGTAAATTGTACTGCAAATTGCAGTGATTCACTGCAGTTCACTCTGAAAATACACTGTATTACATTTATGCTTGTTCCACACACAGCAAGACACTTGTGCCGTCTTCTGCTTTCCTTAAATATTTTGGCTATATAAATGTATCATTCTAGAAGCTTCCTTTTACTTTCCTTTCTCCAACTGCTGGGGAAAAATAAAAAGTCTTTAGCATGGACAAGGATGTATTCTTTGCTGAATGAATGGACTTTGACTTCAGAGGAGGGTATGTGTAAGAATCAAAACGACAGCCAAAGAAACTGAACACTGACAGAAAACACACACACACACCCAACAAACTACACCAAAAAACCCCAATGCTTACCATTGTAGATGCAAAATTGTGAGCATTAAAAGAAGAAACTGGCTGGTCTGCTTCACGTTGATTTTAACAGTGTCAGCCCTAATGGCCAATAACTTTTATGATTCTGTGTTTATTCCATTAGTATCTTATATTCAGATTGTCCGGCTAAGATAGCATAGCCATTAACTGTATACTGATAACTCTTAACTGTGCCTTAATCCTGGCTTATCTACCAGTAGTAAAACGCAGGCCATTAGATACTGGGAAACCTTGGGTAGTGTAAATGTTTTATAAATCCTGTGTATACATTCTCAGGTTCGGTAGGCAGCCGACTAGAAATATTGTTCTGTCCTGTTTAAAATAAGATTTTTTAAAAATAATAAAAAAGAACCAAGTAGAAAATCTAAAACAAACAAAGAAAGGAAGGAAGGAAGGTAGATTAAGTGTGAAAAAAATACAATAATAAGTGACGCTCTAACTTGTGGCTTTGTAAAGTGGTCACACATCTAGAGGCTGTTTCAAAATCCCTCTTGGAAACATGGTTTAAAAATGGATGCATGGCTATGAAGGGGCTCTGAAGGATGAGGAAACTTGTAAAAATCACAAAGGGTTTAAAACATCAAAGTGAGAGGAACAGTTTCATCAGAGTCAAAGCCCAGAGGTCACAAATCTTTCTTACCCTGGTGGTATAAGCTGCTTCTGGATCATCCTCTAGCACTCGGGACATGCCAAAATCAGACACTTTGCAGACCAAGTTGCTGTTGACCAGAATGTTCCGTGCAGCCAGATCTCGATGCACGTAGCTCATATCAGATAAATACTTCATCCCGGACCCAATGCCACGAAGCATGCCCACCAGCTGAATGACCGTAAATCTGCCATCATTCTTCTGCAGGGGAAAGAAATAAGGTACAATCTCATTAGCATTAGGCCAAATTAATTTTCACCAGGCATTTATTACTTGGATCTTTTTTGATATCTGTATCCGGTGTGCAGTGAAACTCAGTATGATTTCCGGGCCTTTTTTTTTTGGCGGTATGCGGGCCTCTCACTGTTGTGGCCTCTCCCATTGCAGAGCACAGGCTCCGGACGCGCGGCCATGGCTCACGGGCCCAGCCGCTCCACGGCATGTGGGATCTTCCCAGACCGGGGCACGAACCCGTGTCCCCTGCATCGGCAGGCGGACTCTCAACCACTGCACCACCAGGGAAGCCCTTCCGGGCCTTTTTGACCAAAGTCACTAATTCATGAGTAGAGTATATCCTAGGAGCTGGGTTTGCTTCCTGTAATAGATGGAAATTATCCAACTGTAATGAATCTATGGCTCAAACAGCCCCACGATACAAGAATAAATCAAATACTACCCTCCTCGTACGTGGATTATTGAAGAGCCTTTAAAAATCACATCATTCTCTATTTCTCCTCTTCTTCCTTTGCCTCATTAGAAAAAAGTCCATGAATACAACCAAACAGAACAAATACTAGAAGTCTGTTAGAGTTTTCTAAATACCGACATTCTTGGGTTTAATATAAAGTAGTCACATACCCTGAGGAATGCATCCAAGGAGCCATTCTCCATGTACTCTGTTATGATCATTACTGGTTTACCTAGAGTTTCCAGAAAGAAAAACACAAAACCCTTGATGAGCACTGCAGTTAATGAGATAAAAATGGGCTGTGCGCAATTTTCCTGCCAGGACACCTGTCTTGTGTGATCTAATTTAATTAAAACAAGCCAAGCTTATGCCTCAGCTGTGTGGAGCTAGGAATGAAATATTAAAAGGACGAGTAGGTTTAAATTCCATCTGGAAGGTTAACCCTTTGGGTGGCTTGTTGACAAGGTCTTTAATAAAGTGGCCTCTGGTATCCAGGGAGCACGTGGATGGGTATTTGCTCTCTCAAGCAAATGGAGAAGATAAATGACCCGTTTAAAGGAGAAAAAAATCTTTAAGATAATTAATTAATTCTGTCCCCAGAAGAGCCACTTGTACAATGCTAAAGGAATCAATGAACAGAGAAAGTTTTTTTTTTTGTTACCTATTTAGAGGAAGCCAAGCTTCTGGGAGCTATGTTGGATACGTCATTACCCAGACTCATCTTAAAGCTCAAGCATGTACCATCTTAGCTCTTCCCCCTGCCTCACTCAGCTCAGGGGCTATATCCTTTCTTTTCCCTTTTCCTATCTATAAATAAACTCAGTCTATTTGTTTCCTTAAGCTGCCAACCTCAGCAGCAGCAACAACAAAATCACAGAAAAGGGTCAATAAGTGATTTCATCCTAGGCAGCAATTTTAATTCAGGACTAGAACCTTTGTGTGCCCTTCTCCCTTTTGTAAGCAAAGAGATCAGAATGATTTTAAGGTTTGAGAGAAGTGGGAAACACTTTCATTTCACTTTGGTTTTCTTTCTGAGCACCTTAGGAAATAAGGATCATTCTTTGGTTTCTTAATCCCTGGCAATGCACTCAAGGTCTGAAATTCCTTCTTTCTAAAGGGTATTTGTGGCAGTGGGGTGTAAATCTTCGATATTTTACTAAGGCAAGGGGTAAAGCCAAGAGAACAGAAGAGTTCCTGTGAGGAAAATAAAATGTTAGTTTGAAAAATCAAAAACATTCATTGCTGTCCTTGTGGACTGTTTGGACTTAGACATCCAGTCAGGGGAAAATGGGCTGGGCTGTGCCACTGCCAGAAAGCCCCCAGAATTATTCTAAACGAGTACATTTCCCACCCAGAGCCCCTATCAGGTGAGACTCTGTACTGGTGTGGGGAAAGGAGAAATATCTTCATTTCAGAGGCAAAATTTTAGAAGAGCACACGTTTTTAATTTCAATGAAGTCCCATTTATCAATTTGTTTCTTCGATTGAACATTTGGTACCGTGCCTAAGAAATCTTTCCGAGGCAAAAATGTTGGATTAGGAAACACCACCACGAACATTTAATTTTCAAGTGATGAATGAAAGCAGGCAGAAAAAGCAGGAATCTCGGTGTAGAACAAAGGATGAGTCAAAACCACTTCTAATCTCTTTCCCCTTGGCTGGAGGGAGTGGTCCCCATACACCTTTCCATCCTCCGTCAATATTATTAGGAAGCCTTTAGTCCTCAGACTCATTTACCCTCTGTATCTGTGACCACATAGAACAAATGCATCTAAATGAGTTTTAATTAACCTGCCTCAATCAAATGATACTTTGTCAACTCATGAGAAGGGCTGACTCCCCTGATGGTGCATTAACACCTACTTCCATTTCACCAGATCCCTCTGGAAATGTGGGGAAGCAAGGAGAGGATCCGCAGGGGCGAGAATTATAGTCTCCCTGTCCATTTACAAAGTTACTCAAGGAAGTCCAGTCACGAATTCACACTCTCCAACTCTTTCACCCTCACACCTCCCTAGTCTGACTGTCGGCACTATCTTCACAATTATTCTCCATTTTTTTGTTTATGAAAAGTATCCATTTGTCAGAATCTTTATGAGCTCTACAAGAGAAATAAAGATGAATGTCTCCATAAGCACAGAGGGGCATATGAAATGGGTCCAGGCTGGGCTCCAGGGTAGAGACAGACCCCTTCCCAGAACAGGCAGGGAGGCAATGGGGAGGGGAGAGATGGGGGGAAGGGGATGGCTCCTCTGGTGGAAATTTTAAACCATTTTAATTCAGTGACAAGTGCATTATGCAAATGCATCCAGTCGTTTGTAACAGTTACAGCTGTAATAGCCACGGGTTTTAGAGGTCACAAAGATCCCGTTTCTTCCCTCTTCTGCAGAGGTGCTACAAAAATCACTGTCTGCCCCAGGAAAAACACCCCAAGCTGAACAGAGCCTCCTTTTGAGAAAATGGACATGCAGAAGTATTTAAAGGGAATGTTATCTTTTAATTAAAGTAGTGAAGGGCTCTGGGCAGCTCCACAGGCCACAGGAAAAATATCCTGTCTGTAAAACTCATCATAAAAAGCAAATAGAGCTATTCTATGCTAATTACAGACTTCACCTTAGGTGAAAAATTATATACCCTTAGCACCAAGGTTCCTTTTTTGAAGGATTCCAAAGATGGGGAAAGATGTACTTTTTAAGACATAATAATGCCAGTTAACACTTAGTTGGTTTTTTTTTTTTAATTTGCTAAATAAGCATTATGCCAAACACGCTAAATATTCCATTCCATTTTTATCTCTATTTTACAGATGAGGAAACTGAGAACTTGAGCAACTAGTCAAGGCCTCATAATTTACTAGCAGTAGATGATGTGTAAATCTTTGGTCACTAGGCCAAAGGTGCTCAAAGTGTGGTTCCAGGGACTATAGCTTGATTGACCTTGAGCTCTTCAGAAATGTGAACTCATGGGCTCCCACTCACTAAATCAAACCTCTGAAGATGAGGCCCAGGAAAGTGTTTTCATGAGTTTTCCAGAATTCTGATGAATGTTTAAGTTTGAGGACCTCTAAATTAGTGTATATCTGCTCTCACTTTTTAGTAATTTCCAAATTTTCCCTGCCTAAAGATTGTGTACCCTTGTGTCTTACTGCCCCCTTTGCCCCAGACCTAACATCCAACATTTACACCTCCATTTCACCCACTGCGGCAGCCACTCTGCACCGGTTGATGGAGGACACTTTTCCCAGGCCCCTGGTATCAAATTAAATGGCACTTTGGCCGTCCTGGAGACATAGCCCCAGGCTTACAAGATCCTTGACTTGTAGTAACTGTAATAGGTACTAAGGCTTCTGGAACAGAGCCACCTTCAATAGTAACCATTTCAGCTGCCCTGTCCATGTGGTGCTTTACAAGTTGGTCTTAGCCAGTCTTACAGGTGTATTCAGGGTCTGCTTCGCAAAATGCATCTTTTGAGCTGTGTCGTATTTTAACTGAAGCGTGGTTCACGGGCTGAGAGAATGCTAATGGACTAAAAAAGGAAGGTGCAACCAGGTGTTACTGGAAATAGGTGCTGAACTGCAACTGCAGCTGCCATAAATCAGGCAGAGCAGACAAGCAAATCCCCCAATATAACAGATTACCAAGGTGCACTCCCTGCATCTGGAACCGAAGCTTCGAACATAAGGTGTAGTGAGGTTTTGTTGTGTTTTATATGAGAAGTACTTAAAATTTATTTTGCTTACCATCTGCTTGCGCCTGTCCTGTGACAATCAGTTTGGTCTAGCAAAGATTTGAAAGATGGCAAGGCATACCAAAAATCTGCAATATTAATTTCCCTAAAATCTCACACAAGCTGCCTTGGAAATAGGGTATCAGCCTACACCATACACCCATTTAGAAATGACTACAAGATTAATGACTTGTCCTGCACTGATTTCCTCCTATTAGCAATCAGTGGGTCTGCTCCATCTGTCATTTCTCTGGAAAGAAAATGTGTGTTTAATTTGCCAGTAACTTCTAACTTGGCTTTGTAAAGGGAGCGACGCACATACATTTGGTGACAACGCCTTCCAAGTGAATGATATTTGGGTGGTCAAACTGTCCCATGATGCTGGCCTCACTCAGGAAGTCCCTCCTCTGTTTGTCTGTATAACCAGCTTTCAATGTCTTGATAGCCACGTAGATTTCTCTTTTGCCAGGCACTTTGAGACGCCCACTGCACACTTCACCAAATTCACCTTTGGGAGAGAAAAAGAATTGACTCTGAACCAGAAACACGTTCAAGGAGAAGGAATAACAGCCAATAGCTAACACTTGTTGACCGCTTATTATACAGTAAGCACTGTGCTGGTGTTTTATATAGATCAAGGAAATTTCAGGTACACAGATATTTACATATACAGGCACATACAATACATTCTAATGCATTTATATAATCCACAAACATATATTTAATATCCACAAAGAAAATAGGCTTATAGACATAGACACTTACCAACTCCTATGACTTTTTCAATCTTAATGCAGGATGCGTCGATTTCTTTGGCAAATTCTCGAACTGCTTGGTTGGGATCTTCGTATGTAAAGGGATCCACGTAAGTTCTAACACCTGAGTAATAAACATGCAAAAGGTTGGCGGAACACTTCTCAGGGACCACTAATAAACTGAAGTTCTCTGGGTCTAAAAATATTCAGCACAGAAAAACTTTTCTTAGCATGAGAAAAATACTTAGCGTAGACATAAGAAAATGTTTAAATTCTTGCTCTGGGTTTCGTTAGTGGGTAAACAAGAATTGTTTGCTACTTAAGAGGCTGTAGCTCTACTGAGTTCCTGGAATGTCTTCACACTTCAGGGATGAAATTTTAAAAACAACCTATCCCATGGAAGAAAAGAGAGTCTCTATAAGGAAATCTGGAATGTGTTATCTAAATATTGCTGTCCCAAATGCTGGAGAGGGTGTGGAGAAAAGGGAACCCTCTTGCACTGTTGGTGGGAACGTAAATTGATAAAGCCACTGTGGAGAACAGTATGGAGGTTCCTTAAAAAACTAAAAATAGAATTACCATATGACCCAGCAATCCCACTACTGAGCATATACCCTGAGAAGACCATAATTCAAAAAGACACATGCACCCCAGTGTTCATTGCAGCACTATTTACAATAACCAGGTCATGGAAGCAACCTAAATGTCCATCGACAGACGAATGGATAAAGAAGATGTGGTACATATATACAATGGAATATTACTCAGCCATAAAAAGGAACGAAATTGGGTCATTTGTAGAGACGTGGATGAAGCTAGAGACTGTCATACAGAGTGAAGTAAGTCAGAAAGAGAAAAACAAATATCACATATTTACGCATATAGGTGGAACCTAGAAAAATGGTACAGATGAACTGGTTTGCAGGGCAGAAATTGAGACACGGTTGTAGAGAACAAACACATGGACACCAAGGGGGGGAAAGCGGTGGGGGTGGTGGTGGTGGTGGTGGTGGTGGTGGTGGTGGTGGTGGGAAGAATTGGGAGATTGGGATTGACATGTATACACTAATATGTATAAAATGGATGACTAATAAGAACTTGCTGTATAAAAAAATAAATAAAATAAAATTCAAAAATTCAAAAAAAACAAAAACAAAAAACTAAACACAATTAAAAAATAAATAAATAAATATTGTTGTCCCAATCAGTTGTTCACATCCTACCCACCATCTCCAGCTTTCTTCCCTTAGGGAAGATGATAGAAACTTTCTCAAATGACCTGTTACAAGATATCATCTTTTGCCTCATATTTGGACCAACAATTGACAACAATTACAAACTAAGATTAAACCTAGGTTAAGTGGATGAGAGGGATAGTATCTGCTATTTGATTTGAAAATACAAACTCTGTATTGGAGTTGCACTTTTATTCTGTTTTGGAAAGAAAGTGCTGTAAGAAAAGACATTGAATTTCACCTGGAAGCTTCGGTGAATCAATGGTTTAAATACTAAGAAGGGTAATTTGGCCACACCCCATAGTCACTGGTAAACTGAATTCGGAATGTGAGCTCTGGGGCAGCCAGAGATGTCCGGGACAAGATGCATTAGAGATTACTGGGAACTTTCCACTGGCATTCACACCCTGCCTCTCCCTGCTCGAGCTCCTGGGGCTTTGGGGCGCTGAGAGGTGTAGGATACCGGTTGGCCCAAACCCTTTGATTTTCCAAGACTGTCAGTTTTGTCCTCATCTCAAAAAAATGCATCATTTTTGTTTTTAAAAATATACACCACATGCAAATGAGAAAGTGTGGTTTTAGAAAGGAAACAAGATGAACAAATGGAAAATTATCAGACACTCCATGACCCTTCATCACTTCACATGCTCTAGCCAAGAAAACCTTTCTCAGGATTATTCTTCCAGCCCTTCTACCTCCCTGTGCTAATAAGGTAGATATTAACCACCCGGTGTTATTTAGATATAAATCAGTTAAAATTAAATAAAATTTAAAATTCACTTCCTCATTCACACTACTTTTCAAGTATTCAGTGGTGCTTGTGGCCCCTTGGCTAATGCATTAGATGGTGCAGATAAAAACCACTGCCATCACCTCGGAAAGTTCTCATGGACAGAACTCCTGGAGAGACACCAACCACTGTCCATTGCAGAGTTTTCTATCTTGCTCAAGTCATTCAGAGCCGATTCTTTAAATTTAGTCTTTGACTCCACTTGGAATATCAAAATAATGAAAATCCACTAAAGAAATACTGATAGTCCTGAATTCCACAGCACATATTCTGTGGTATGTTCAATTTCTTATTCTATTGAAAATGTTTACCTTATAATAAGAGAAAAACTGTGACCTTCTAAATCTTGCCACCCAGCTACAAAAATGAGCCAGCTAGGCCAATACTTTTTCAGGTTGGAGGATAAAATAAGGAAAAAGTAGCATCAAAGGAAATTACCCAACCTCCATCTTGAATTTCACTTAAAAAAAAATACCAATCACCTATTTCAGTTTGAAACCCTTAAGTACATTATTTGGATAATTTCATGAAAGGAATATAATATTAATAGCCATGTGAATATTATTTAGACATTTCTAAACTGAAAACACAAGACATGCTCTAAAAATAAAATTATTTTTAATCCAGTTTTCTGTACCTTGGTTCAAATGTTTCTCTTCGTCTGCTTCTTGTTTCGCTTTACTGTATTTACTCCGTCTATTAAAAGATAAAAAACAATATTTTCAAAATCTGTAAACCACAAGTTCTTTACTACCATAATATAAGTCAGGCAGATATGTAATGCACATTTCACAGATGAGAAAACTAAGGTTTATGGGAGTTGAAATAACAGGGTAAGTAACTTGTCACCGCAGAGTCCGGAGTCTCTGCTCGTAACTACAGTATTAAACTGAGGTGATACAGCAAATATTTTATAATACAATTATAATTTTAAATCCCCAGGAGAAATTTATTGTATTGAATATAGATTAGAAGTTTACTGGCTAATTTCCCCACATACATATTCTGAATTAAAATAAGTTTCCCTAGGTGAATTCTGCATACATCAAAGGCAATCGTAGTCAGTATGTGATAAGTAAAAGTAAGCCCTGTTGCTTTCACCACAAAAAAACCCTCATTATCCTATTATATGATATTCTTAAAACAATAGTTTTGTGGTTATTGGCTTCAGCTGCTGCATACAAATTCCTAAATGATTAACGACAATTTAAAAGGTAAACATTTGCTTCGTACTGGATTACATTCCTTAAGAGTTTGTAGAAAACTTGCAGCAGTAAAAATAAGGATCCGGGACTTCCCTGGTGGCCCAGTGGTTAAGAATCTGCCTTCCAATGCAGGGGACTTGGGTTCGATCTCTGGTCAGGGAACTAAGATCCCACATGCTGGGGGGCAACTAAGCCTGTGCGCTCTAGAGCCCGCGTGCCGCAACTACTGACCCCCCACGTGCCACAACGAAGATCCCGCAATTAAGACCCCAAGCAACCAAATAAAAACAAAACAAAACAAAACAAAAAATAAGTTTCCATTTGTCGCCTAATTCTTTTCTCCAAAAAACAGTGTATGGTCCTACAGTTGGCCTTCTGCTCTCAGTGTCCCATAGGAGTGAGATCAGGCTTGGTTATAAAAAGTCTTGGGAAAAAGAAAGCTTGAATATATATAATTCTTGAATCAGCCATCTTGATACATTATACATAGACACATATATATGTGTCTATGTGTATGTATGTTAAATTAGAAAATCAACTCAGTCCATATTAGAACTCTGTAAAGTTGGAAGATGAGATCATATTAGTGAATAAAATATGTACATCTATGTTTCTGTCAAAAATGTCAAGTTTATATTGCACTTTATAATCATCTTGTAATTTTCTTAGAGCTTTAAAGATGAGGTCAGTCAAGACTCCTATATGTGAGGAAACAGGCTCTGTGGTGACAAGAGTCCCTGGCGGCCACAGGGGGTCGCAGCAGTGTGGTCCTGTCTGAATCTGATAACCTGAACCCCTGCACTTTGAACAAGTCAAGAAGGGCAGGATGGTCATGGAAAAGAGGGCCACGCAGTGCCACCAGAGAGCAGCCCAGTCACAGTCACGTGTCCCAGCCCTTCACCCACATTCCTCTCCTAATTGTCAGCAACGCAGGAACCAGCTCTGCAATCAGACCCTCAGAGCCTACAGATGTTCCTCTGTGTGTATAATTCCCTTGCAAATAATAATACTTGGCATTTTTACACTGCATTTAACTTTTCAAAGTGCTCTCATCACATATATTATCTCTTCCCCTAACTGTTTGCAAAGCAGGAACCAGCTCAGTAAACAGGGACCTCAGTTCACTTCAAAGTACGAGTCATTCAGTCCCAAATAATAGCTTGCATTTTTACTTTGTATTTAACTTTTAAAAGAGCCTTCCTGTATAACATTTCATGGCATCTTCTCAACAACCCTATGAAAGCAATCAGGCAGACAGACACATGTTCAGTCCCATTGTACAGATGAGAACATGGAGGCAGGAGGGCAAGTCATTTACCCACGACCCTCCTAGCAAATACAGGAGGAGTGTGTCTGCCCCATCTAGCTCACTACCTCACATGCCTCTCCCAGCATGGATGAAGTTATATGATGATAGCTGGTGAGAGTTAATTATAAGTCATAGTACATTTTATATCAGTAAATCCACTTAAATTGGATTCCACTTGCTCTCAAAATCTATTGCTTCATCAAAGAAGCTAAACAGGTTTAAACATACTGAAACCAAACATTTGTATGAAAGATGTAGTCCCCTCCAAAACTCCCCCTCCCCTCTCCTTTTAAAGGAAATATAAGAGTGTTAGGTCAGGGACTATGAAAATAGCATATTTTATGTCAGGGAAATGCGTGCCTAGGTCTCAAGGGTGTGATAGGGTCCTGCCAGCCCGGAATATTGTATCTTATCGGAGCTCCTAAAAGCATTATCTAAAATTACAAGTATATATTTTAAACCACTTTAGATCTCGAATACTGATTTGAATTTCTTTCCTTCAAAGAAGAAAAACATGCATCGAGCAGGGAAGCTTTTGTCCCAACTTTAAACTGTCAGAGAGTTCATCAAAAACCCTTGTAGAGGGCTTCCCTGGTGGCGCAGTGGTTGAGAGTCCGCCTGCCGATGCAGGGGACACGGCTTCGTGCCCCGGTCCGGGAAGATCCCACATGCCGCGGAGCGGCTGGGCCCGTGAGCCATGGCCGCTGAGCCTGCGCGTCCGGAGCCTGTGCTCCGCAACGGGAGAGGCCACAACAGTGAGAGGCCCGCGTACCACAAAAACAAACATACAAACAAACAAAAAACCCTTGTAGATATCAAAAGAAAGGAGCAGCCTCAAGCAGCCCAGGAGTGCCATTTTCCATCAACATATTCATGAAATCTGTGCAAAGCCAGAGGAAAGGTAAAATGGCAGGGATCATTACAAGGCTGACCTGCCCATCCCCTCCTCAGGCTTCCGAACATAGAAGGAGGAAGTAAAATAGAGGAGGTGTATTTTTTTTTTTAAATAAAACTCTATTTTTATTCCCTCCCCGCCAATGTTTTATGTTTTTTTTTTTTTTTTTTTT